CCCGATGAACACCTCCGAGCCGGCCGGCGGGGGATCGCCCACCCAGCCTGCGGGGACACAGCGACACGGTGAGACCCACCACTGCGCCCGTGCCCACCAGGCACCCTACGGTGCCCCACGGAGACATGCTCCTCTCATGTACCTGGAGGGGGGCCACCGTATCGCCTCTGCCCGTTGATCTGCACCAGGGTGATGCCGGTTTCTTTCACCCAGGCGCACAGGGCCATCTTATTGGCCTGGTTGATGGTGTTGGTCCATGTCTGAGGAGGGAGATGACATTTGAGTTTTCAACCTCCCGTCTGGGGCATCCCAACCCCATGAAGCAATTGCAAGGCCCAGCATCAGTCAGCACATGGAGGAGCAAACGCTGAACCCTTCTGCCTGCAGGAAAGCTGAGGAGCCTCCCAACACTGCACATCTGAAGGACTACCCCTACCCTGCTCTGGTCAGCAACTCTGGTAGAGCACAAGGACACCAACAGCTCCTCTGTGGATGCCCACAAGGACTTTGAAAGCCAAGATCCAGGCAGCTTTTTGGCACCACAAGAGAGGGTTGGAGCACAGAGCCAAGGTGACTCAGGACATCATGAAAGCCCAGGAAGGCTGGCACCCCAAGACAACCAGCTCTCTTCTCCTACCAGCATCTCCTCAGAACACAGAGGAGGGTTTGGAGACACCCGCAGGTTTGTGGTGACACCAGGTTTTAGCTTTTAAAGTACTGCAAGATCTCAACAGGGCCTTTGAAACTACAATGGATGGTAATAAAGCCACCCTGCCTCAGGCTAAAACGCAGCCAGCTTTTTTTTCACCTTCCTCTCAGGCACCCCCAGGTGGTAGCAACTTTCGATCTCCAAGGGACCTTTCCCGGAAATGAGAAAACGCCTTTGGATGAAAGCGGGGACCCGTACAGAGGGAATTTCTGCCGGGAGGGCACAGAGAGGCAACCACACACCCCACAAAGCCTCTGCCATGGCTCCGCAGCTCCCAGGGCCGGATCCCAGCCCCGGGCACCTCCTTGCCCCACGGGTCCCCAGTGCGGGGAGGTCCCAAGGCTCCGGGGAGAGGCAGGACCCGGCTCTTCCCCAGCCGAGCCCGCAGCCCCGCC